AAAAGTTATGGTTTGCTTTCGTCAAGTTAGCGAGTGATGGCTTCTCCATTTTGCTTACCTTGAATGACACCCTCCCGTTTGTTAGCAAGTATTGTCCATTTGGTAACGTCTCGCCAGCTTTCTTTTGAGTCCCGTCGCATGAAAAAGCATCTGAATGATAATGAAAAACGCAAAGATTTGATAGATGCATGATTTTTTAATGTGTATGTTGTTTTGAAATTATTATAGTTTTCACAAGCAGCGCTTAAATTTCAGGAAAAAGAATCGAAAGTGACAAATCAGACAAGAAATTGACCACTAGATTTTAAATGGATAGCAATTACCAAAATAATTCCGCTTCTGCTAAAGAAAGGCGACAGAAAAAAATCGAAGAAAACCTGCCACGAGCTGAGAAAGAAACATGGCGAAAAAGCGGAAAGAGAACTCCAGCGAGACCTTAAGCTAAAAAGAAAATTGTTATCAGAAAAGTTCCCTGCCCCAATGCCCATCGCTAAGAAGGCGTTGTGGTTTTATCATGATTACACTGGTTAGCACAGACATTTATGTTTGCTTTAATATTCGTAATAAAGAATTCGCAAACTTATAAAAAGAGCTAGTGCTATTCCGCAGCTTTTTCTAGCTCTGTCTCATTCTGTCAACTCTAATATCGTACATTGGAAGTTAAGACACTCCGTGCTTTGAATCTAGAAAGAATTTCCACTGTCGGATTATTTACGTGTGTCAATAAACGGCGCCTGAATTTTAGTGGTAAAATAAAAAAAGTAAATAAATAAATAAGCGTTTCGATTTCATCTTCATCTGACATCATCATCCATTTAGAAATAAAAAGAGAGTTATGTTTTCTTTATATATGTACAGAAGAGATGTGATCATGACAGGTTCATGCGTGAGTTAGGATCAGAATAAACATTAAGCGTTATACTGGTGCCAATTAAAAACAAAGAGAAATGTCAAACAAAGAGCTTTTCACGAATGAGTCTGGCTGGGTCTTCAGTTCCCGTTTCCTTTTAATACAGAATATATTGGATACATCTGCCGTCATCTACATGAATGCAGTGAAGAGCAAAAGTCATCTGCCTTTGGGAAGCATTTGCAAGAAAAACATAACGCCAAGATCAATGAGCTTGCCAGTAAATTTTTGATCCTAAAGAGATGCAAAGGAAAGCTGCATTGTCTGATCTACCAGATGCTGAATCTATTCGCGCAGCTCCAACTTTTTATTCTGATCAATTATTGTTTAATTAACTTACCGTTGCTTTTGTTATTTCTAACTTGATAATGATATCAAGGTGACATCGAAATTTCGTTTTTCTGGCGTTAATATTCGATGTTAAATGTATTATTTAGTTTTCGCTCATTAAAATAAAATAAAACAGATGTATGACTGATTAACTTACGTCTGTTAAAAAGATGTGGTTCAACTTTTTTCGCTGCCCATACATTTTACTCTTTTATATTTTACTCACCTAATAGTCATTTAACTTCTCGTTAAAGCTTGTTGGATAATGCCACAGTGGAGATCCCGCGTTAGAGACCATCGATAGCGTCATTACGCTACCTGATTATAGTGTTACGAACATGCAAATTAAAGCCATAGCTAGTGGTTCCATAAGGAAATGAATCAGCACTATCGATCTGCTTTCGAAACTGAAACGGCATCTTATTTTAGAGAGACTAACTAGAGGTGAAAATCATTTGGCGGGATGTGGTGTACAAATATAAATTCATTTTAAAATTAAGAATTGGTTCATGCCTCGCGTGCGTATATCGAGTTATGGATGCACGCAGGAAGTTTGGAGAGCACAAAAGAAGTGTTAAGAGTTGCTCAAGGCGACAGCCGAGAGCAACTCTAGCTTCTTCTTTTATAACATGGTAACAAAAACTTGGGCGCTAATACATGTTTTATTTGTGATTGACTACAAGGTTCTCACAATGCACGGTGAAGAAAACCAAAGATCATTAGGATCCTAACAGGTCACGATCAGTTGAGGAACGGTAGAGCGAAAACGCTTAACCTGGTTTTTAAAATCGTCGATCAGGAAAAATTTGCTTCTTCGAATTAATTGAAATAAAAATGTAGGAAGTCAGAGTCAATTTACTCGATGAAAATGTAGACAAACAAAGTCAAAATACTCACGTTTAAGTAAACATCTTAGCTTGGCAAAAGTCAAAGGATCCAAATAGAGTTTGGATTGTTGGGAATAATTTTAACATCGCCGAAACAAAAGGAACTCGCACTAAACTCGACGGTAATTTTGCAGCTAAATTGAAACAGCACAAGTCATCTTATATACGCACCGCCGTGCGTACATAGAGATTTTAATTCGTTCATGATGGCTCAATAGGAATTAGATAGGACTAGCGCGCGCGTTATGTTATTATACAGCATTGCAGTTCTTGGAACATTTTCTTACCAAGTTTGATTTCACAGTTTTTCCCAATCCAAGGCGCTTTACACAAACATGAAAATGTTTGTTTCTTGTCGTCTGTTACACAAGAGCCACCGTTGAGACAACCAAGAGCTGTGGGACTTTGACAACCCTGATCACACATGTAAAGCGTTTGAATTAGGAAAAAAGAAACAGACAGCTCAAAGTTCAGGAAGGACGAATATACATGCTAAAACTATTTTAGTCAGAAGGCGAAATAATTGGTGCGATCGTGCGAGCTTCACTGTTTGCTCTCGCTAACGTACAAACATTACTAACGTAACTGTATTAAAAAACGTTTATTTCGACGACTACAGTGTACTGGATAGTATTCCGGAGACCCGATTTTGGAAAAAGAAATTTATGTATGTTACTAACTACCCACATAAACAAAGCAGCCGTACAAACAAGAAAAAGGGCCAAAACCAGTAGGTATTGAGGGCGAATCGAAAGTATAATGGTCGCATTATATCGCAATGCAACTGTTCAGTCGTCCTGCAGGCAGGCTGTTCCATCCGCATGACCCCCGGCTGAGAACAGAGACTTTCTCTATTAGTGACTTCTTCAAAGGGCCGCTACTTTCGTGTGGGCCGCTATTTTCGGGGGACCGTTACTTTCGGGGTTCAATAGGAAGAGAAAAAATTAACGTTACTTTCGGGGAGCCGTTATTTTCGGAGTGGCCTTTACTTTCGGACTTCTACGGTAATTGCTAATTGCTAATTACCTTTAAGAGCAAAGAAAGAGTGACCCCTTGTTGATCATGAAACTTGGCGTTTTCGTCAATGGCCCCATGCTTGTTCAGTTCGCAAGTTCCTTTGGTGTTCTTCATAGATGGCATCTTGAAATTGGTTGAAGTACACCAGGAATTTCTCAGGCAAAAATGGTTGCATGAGGTCAAACTGGGAGACTCAAACCTTTTGACAACATGTCCCTTCAGTCGCTTATCTTGCCGCGTCGTGAAGAATACTGAACGAGAAAGTTCGGAGTCTTCTTCAGCAGCGTAAACAATGGCATTCACTATTCCTTGAAACAGGACAAGGAACAAAACGTTTTTAGCGTCCATAACCTTTAAACAGAATTCGGTACTGAATGGAAAGGTAAACTGTTCAGAGGCTTGACTTTGCAAGTTTATTTCAAGAGTGGTTTTGTTGCGTTGTTTCAATTATGTGACGAAATAGAAAGACGCAGCGATTGGTTTATTCTTTCAAATATGATACTTGGATGCTTTTGATTGGTTGTTCGTTAATAGTGTGGGGATGGGTTGTTGCCTGTGGGAGATCGGCCTGGATAAATTAAAAGTTTTGAGAAACCCGTTGCGGAGAGTTCGTAACTGCGCAGGTCACTCGCTCAATGATATCCAGGTGGCAGCGATAAAGGCCGATTTGCCTCAGAGAGTCTTGGGGCAGCTGGAGGAGCTCGTTTTACGCACGCGAGCACTTGCATCCTGGCACACCTAAAGTAGTTTCATACGAGCGTAAATAACAGGCTAATTTGCAGCAATTTCGAAACGTCGGTTATCTGATGACAGTTTAGTTAGTGCCTAAGAAAGACAAACTCCTAAATACATCTTGTTTGGCGCTAAGCAGTTTTCATATTTATCTGGTTCTAAAAGAACCTCACCTCATGCTTCAGGTTTTTCGAAACTAAAAAGTTCACTTAGTTCCAATTTTTACGTAAATTACAAAGTATGACCAGTTTCTCTGTCAGAATGTACATTGATGTGACTGTAATTTGTGCCTCGTTGTCACCGAAGTTTTAGAAGTGCTTCAAACTTGATAAACATTTGGGCAAAAAAGTTGAGTCGCGTACCAGGGTGGTTTATTAACGTGATCTCAAAGTCACAGCCAAGGGATTGATAAAAATTAGAAGGTCAAATTTTCTTTAAAACAATACCGGTTATAGTGAATTTCCTTACATTTGATGATGGTAGTAGTTTAATGAATTTCAACGAAACAAGCAACCGACGTCAAATGTTGACAAAACGAAGACGGAGCGAGAGAACTTAAAATTATGAAAATTAGATACGAATACGACAGTTGCTATGACTGCAGAATGTCAGTGAATATTTTAGGTAAATGACAAAAGATGACGTCATTGAGTCTGTAAATAGCATGGTTGCAAGGCAAAATAAAGCCGTCAAATTTTCGCCTGCGTTAAAAAAGAACCACCTTCTTCTTATTTTAGCTCCAGTAAACATACACTAACAACCAAAAAAAAAAAAAAAAAAAAAAAAAAAA